CCCAATGAAATGATCTTTCCTAAACAGATGTTATTGCTTAATTGCAAGGTTTGGGCTTGACATTTGCTCGGTATCCCCTTGCCTAGGACAAGCCAGTCAGAGAAAGCAGCTACAGCAATTCAGTCTGGCCTGAAAAATGTGCTGTGCAGCAAATTGCTCAGCACTGGCCATTTGTACTTCAGCAAAGAAGCAAACACACAAGAAAACAAAGCTGAAACACAATAGCAGGGTTTGCAATGAACTTGGGAGAAATTTACTGGTCTATCTAAAAAACACTGGTACTTTTCTTATGTTTCCAGAAAAGATGCTGCTATTGGCCCTCCCTACTAGAAACTCACAAAACGCCTGAATTCACACACACATATCACCGATTTTCATCTTATAAATTAATCCTGTGTCATATTTCAAGGCTTCTCTCCTCTTCCATGGAATCTGATACTGGATTTTCCCTCTCTACTCGCAGACATCTGAAGCTGATATGCAAGTGCAGCACAGTCATGAGATTAAAAGCACTTAAACAGTTACTGGCAGTCTCTACAGGGAACATTGGTACAGATGGGAAATTTGTATCGCCAGCTACCATTACAAGTTAGTTCAAAATAAAAAAGCGGACGTCCTATTTTCAGAAAACCTATACATAGTAGAAGTTATGGCATCATTAGTCAAAACAAACAGAAGCTGCTTTCTCATATATGAAATATTAAGTAAACAGTAGCCAGCAAATGACATATTGCATGCACCTGTTTTGGAAGCCTCAAAATAAACTCACAAGCTAAGAAATAAAATGTTAGGGAGTGAACTGTACATGCAGGCTAACTGGCACATACACATGAGACATCTCAACAGTGCAATTCACAATGTTAATCAAGAATACGTAAAAGCGCAATCTCTTCAAGATGGCCTTTATGTGTCTGCAAAAGTTCACAGGCCTAACAAATATTTTTATTGAAAAGGATAGAAAAGAAAGGGTCATTGTTTCTGAGGGTCTACTTTTTTATTAAATGAGTCCATCATCTGACATAGTACAGAAGAGTTTTTCATGAAAGAGGCTTTTAAATCAGTAAGAGATGTAAAGTTAGTTAAGTATACAGACCTATTAAAGACACTACTGATGGGTTTTTTTCTGCTGCTTGTTGATATACAGGTTAATGGAATGTCATGTATGGAATTGTTCCTTTCTAATAATTCTATCAGTATTGAATATAAAATTCACAGCTAAATTTCTACAGCTGAGTTTCAAACATGTTGAGTTTTATCTTTTTTGTCACTCCCTCCCTTCACACACATGCAAGAATACAGAATGCAAACTAAAGCACCACCCTTGCCTAATGGGCTGCATCACTACAACTCAGCTAGAGCCAGCTGACATGTCAATTTTTTGTTTCAGTGGCTGACAGCAGTCCAATACTTATCCCTTGCTGGCTCCTGGCAGCTCAGACAACAGCGAGCACACTCAAGCCATGAGAAGGATCTTGTGAGGTCTATTCCTTCCCAGCAGCCAGACAGCTGCTTAAAGGAAGATGGCCAGCGCAAGCAAGGGAAACGCCTCCGTGGCATTCACTAGTGAACAGACCACCTAACAGCAAATTCCCAGAATAAGCTTCTCTCTACTAGGGCAGCAAATGGAATGTCTACCATGAACATATCTTTTAAATCCAGGCAAGCATTTAAGAAAAACTTGTATCACAAGTAAGGAAAACATGCCAGAGAAGTGGATTTAAGCAGCCCACATCTGAGCACTGCAATGAATGAAGTGCCAGCACGATGCCTCTAGCATCAGAGCAGTCAGCTACAGTGCTTTAACTACTGGTGCTGCCCAAAAAAACATGCTGGTTGCTTAAGAAAGCCATTGCAGACTATCAGGAAAACATTAAAAATTCAAACACATGCTCTGTGTGCTTGTGGAGGACTCCTGTAACATTCCAGGTTTTGACTTTTCAAACCTGGGTCTAGTAGAAAACTGCATTTTAATGGAGTATGACATTACTCATTCACACAGAACATTAGGTACTTTATTCTGACATTAGATAACGCAGCAATGAAATGGTGTAAATCTGATTTAACAGTATTTTCATTAGTAAGTGCAAGTAATTTGTGCTAGATATTTTACCCTATACTTCTATAATGCTAATGCTTCAGAATTTTTTAATTGTATCCCTGCCAAGCCAAACATATATCACAGTTTTCACCTCACTGAAACAAATATTAACTGACTGTTTATTAACACCTCTTGACACTTACAATGCTGAGAGTACAGCAACTTAATCACAAATGCCAGAAGTAAAACAATAAACGTTACTGTTGGTCAGATAAATTGCAGTATCTGACAACACATGAAAAAATAAAATACATTCTGCTTGGTATAGGTACTGTACTGAGATCTTGATTAAATAAAAGCAACAGAAATGACCTTTTTTTCTGCCTGAAGAAAATCCACAGAAACCAACCAGCACCATGCTGCAAAGCTTGCAGAATTCAAAAAGCTCTAACTTAGCAGTCTTAGACTGGAAAGGAGCATAATCAACAAAGAAGTAAAATTTACTGTCTGTATTCTTATTCAAAAAATGCCTTGAAGCAGAACAGTTTTGAAAAGTTCTCTATGTACTGTCCAGAACCAGGGTGTGTGCTGCAGCTAGAATGCACAGGAACAATCTACTTGAAGTCTGATTTCAGGACTTGCTGGCTGGTTCAGCAAAGAAGTACAGCCTTGAAGGCCCCTAAGAACATTTCCAGAAAGCAGCAATTACAGAGGAAAAGATGCACATTGGATGGATAATGCAGAAGCCACTGTATGAGAAATCTTCCATTACTCAGATCTACCAAATTGCTCTGTAGCCTTCCACTGGCAAACTAACAAAAGTAGCTTCAACATCCCACAAAATCACAGCTTATATCGAAGTTAGATCATAATTCAAGCACAGTGAAAGAATAAGGAAAACGAAATAGCAACTATTTATAACCACTATGCTAAAAAGAGCAAAAAGAATGCCAGCACAGATGTATCTTTTTTAAGTTACAGACAGTATCAGTTAGGTTTCTTAGAGCCTCCTGGAACTGGCAAACCCTCCTTAGTATTTAAATCATTCAGTTTCTCTTACGAAGCCAAACACAAGAAAACAAGAATGTATCGAGTCACTACTAATACTGGGTTTTTACTACCTTCATTGTACATTTCCTTCCTGCTTGATTCTATTTATCCTTATTTACCAGCATATTGATTTTGTTAAATGAAGTTAGAAGAATTTTCAGGCATTTTGTCAATGGAAAAATAAAAACACTGACAAAGAAAAGATACTTAAAAATACCAGTCTAAAAACTGCCATATACATCTAAATATAATACCTACATCATTCACCTAATTAATCTGCAAAAATTAGATATTGCAGTTCTTTGCTTATCTTTCTTCTACATATTTAAAATGACATATAGGCACAATATGGAGAAAACATAACCAAAGAGTCTCACATGCAACAACCAGATTAGACATTAAACAACAACAAAAACAAACAAAAAACCAACCAACCAACCAACCAAAACCACCCAAAACAAACAAACAAAAAATCATTCTTCCTTTTGTTTAAAATTTTAGTTGCTTATCATTCTAAATAGAGCATTGCACATCTGTTTCCACTAGACAAATACCTCTGAGTTTGTGACCAAAAAATAATTTAGTTTAATTCCATGCTTTTCAGTTATGGTATTCAGGGAACAGAAAACTGGGTTGTTTGATTTTATTTTTAGATACGTGTGGCTATTTAACAAAAGAAAAGCTGCTACATATTTCTTTCTGAATTTTCATTTTAAAATATTTTTTAATCAAAAAAGAGAAAAAAACCTTTTCTTTGCAAATGTACATTACGTGTTTGCTATTTTTTCACTAGCAAACTGACTTAGAGGGCATGTCACTTCCGTAATATGACTCATTGGGAACAAAATTGTAAGAAATCAGTTAACAGCATAACAGAAAATATCTTTCCACTTCTTACAGCCAAAGGACACTAAGTACACTGTTTTCCTTTCCCCTTGCTCAAAAACAAATACTACATTCAAAAAGCTTTATTAATTCAAGATACTTCTCTTGGATTTTATATGCAAGAATAGAATTCCAAGTAACACCTTTGAGTAGCATAGCACAGGCACTGGCATTACAGGTAAGTTATACAAGAGAACAAATTACTGAGGAAAGTTAGGATGGTCTGTCGCTGCTATTCACCATGCTTATTTTTCTAGTTAAGCTAGAGACAGTTTCACAAAACTTCTAGGGAAAAATACCTTCCTAAGGGTAAAAAACATAAGCCATTGCCACCTGTCTATTCTCCTTGCAGGACACAAAAAACCTAAACAAAGAAGTAAGCAAATTACTGCTGGACACAAAAATTAAGGCAATGAGTTGCAACCTTTATAAGAAATCTGTCCCTTTGAACTGGTAGATTTCTCTATGTCTCTGTTTTCCTTGCTCTCTTTTGTCTGAATAAAAGCCCCATATTTCTTAAATGAATAAATAATAGCATCAGTCATGGCACACTGTTAAGTGGGCTGTACTGCAAGCAATTTTATGGCTGCAGTATCTTTTGACAAAGACCAGCTATTGGTCTAGTACTTAGAGGAGAACACTGTTCTGTGAAAGTTGCAGTATTGAAAAACCCCGCAAATCTGGGAAGAGTTTCATTTTGGAAACATTTTCAAAAAGAAGGAAAGAGTTCAGGAAATATCACTCACTGATTTCCTGAGAACACTATGAATCACTTGAGATCATCATTAGTCTCATAAAAGCAGAAGCACAGAACAAAACATTTTAGTAACAACTTACCAATCAAGCAATTGGATATTACTTAAAAGACCCCACAAGTAATTTGGGAGAAAAACTGATCACCAACCAGATAAACAAGAGATGAGCAAACTACTTTAAATTATGTATGTCTCTTGTTACCGAAGGTACTCAGAACAAAATTTTCAACCATCTTTAATATTTATTACTATGTTTCAAAAGATTAACAATTCCAAACAACAGATTATTTTTCAATATAGATGAGGGAATATAAATTAGCAACTATAGCTTATATAGATATCTTTCTGCCCTCGGTAAACTGCAGTGCTAGATGTTAATGGAAATATGACACCTGGATAAGGACCTGATTTGTTGGTTTGATAAATAGATCACGTTAAAATTCTAAACTTTTAATGTAAGTTTTTGAAGAAGTTCATTCATCAGCTTCACAGTCCTTTGGTTTTCTTCTCCACTATGGTTAAATCTGTAAGCAGTACGGATAAGAAGGTTATAAACTTCTTTCCTTGTATCAGTTATCTCAGCAATCTGAAAGGAAACACAGAAAGTTAAATTGGACAATTACATTGCTACATACTAAGAATTCTTCAAAATACTTGCAAGAAAACCAGATTTTTTCCTCACCACTGAATATGTGAGAACCAGCTTCTGCCTGAGGTGTCTCTTTTCATACACCCCAGTGCAGCCAAGGAAGTTTGAGATTTCTGTTGTTGTCTCAAATTTAAGTGAAACAAATCAAGAGGCCAGAAAGTTCTTAAAGGAAACACAAATGGACAGTATAACCATTTGTAAGTCATTGCCATAGAAAATAACTAAAAGCACATGAAGGTTCTGTGTGTATTTGGGGAGACAATTCAATTCTGTAAAGCTTTCAAAAGTGAAAATAAATACCACCCCCAAGAGATGACAAAAAACAGGAAAATACTCTAAGTTGCAATTTTTGCAGATTGGAAGGGACTTGACTTCTCATTGTCTGTGTTAAACCCAAAGTTTACTGTGCTAAAAGGAACCACAACCATGCATCCCAAATCAGTTCCATACCGTTCTGCCTTTCATATATTGTCTTTAGTCCCTTTCAATTCACATGGAGAGCCTAGCTACACATTAGTGATTATACAGATACAGTCAAAATCAATCAGACTGATAAACCAACAAACTGGCCTACAACAGTTCATGACCACTCTGCACTGGGCAATATTCAGAGTTTTGAAAGTTAGTAATATTGCTATCTATAAAGAAGCAGAAGACTGCCTTTGGTCCTCCTGGAGGGACTTAAAGTAGCAGGCTAGTACATTACAGCATCACAGCTCAACAGCTGCACTCTCTTCATGAAGAGAAACTAGAAACAGCAGTCTGTAAAAATATATACCACCCCCCCAAACTTTATCATTACATTCTTATGCTGAGAAAAAAAATAGATAATTTGTGAACTTGCACCCTAGGATGTGAGAAATACCTTAGCCCTTCTTAAAGAGAAAAATGTTATGTCTTTTTAGTCAGCCAGCTGTGTCAGAAAGTCAGATGCCTTACATATGCCATACAGCCTATACAGGTCTATACATAAGACCACAATGCTGCTGAATGGAAAAACGTTTCAAAGTATTAAAACTACACACTGACCCTGGACCTGCTTGCATAGGGGGCATGCACTTCTTACAAGAACATGGTTTGATAGTAAGGAATGGCTTTCTAATCCTACACTGACATAGCACTGTTTATCTTAAGTTACACAAACACATTTTATAGTTTGCACCAATACACCTGAAGGCTGTCATCACCAACAGGAAGATACTGTGGCAAGCTTCCAGCCTTATACTCCTCTTCATCTTTTTTTACAACTTAAGAGATGCTATCTTAGCTCTTCATTTTCTCCTTCTCTCTTAATTACCACACTGTTTTCTTCACTGGCTTTGCCAACCAAGCTTCTGCCACATCAATGCTAAGACCTAGTAACCAGCTGTTCCACCCAATGGAAAACAGCGAGAAGAGAGTTCCATCACGTCTGCAGTAGCTGGATAATTTAGGGATTGATTTTCTTTGGAAAAATCAAAATGTTTGCACATGCTATCTATAGCATTGTAAATGAACTGTAGGTGTCCCTTAAATGCAAGCTATTAGTTCACCTGTTTCTGCATCTGCACAGTGACGACGGTAACCCTGTCAGTGAGATCAAGAAGTGAATGGAAAACAGTTTAACTGTAGCTGAAATAGATATGTAGCAGGTTAGATATAGCTGTTGTAGCCACAGTCTCCTTTAATTCTCTGTGTTTTCTTTCTTAAGAGGTAGAAACTTAAATCAAAAATAATAAAGTAAGTATGTATTTAAGTTAACCTGAAAAAGAAAGGAATAAACACTTACACGGTAAATACATTCCTGGGCAATCTTATGTCCACCAGGTGAAAAGAGCAAGAAGTTGGTCAGAAGATGTGTTGTGCATTGCTGGTTACAACACTGCTGTATACCTGTTACCCTGTGTACAGCAGTCTCCAGGTCTTTGAGAGAAAGGTCTGTGCAGCTGAACAGCATCATTAGATGATTGTAGACTGCTTGAACTTCTACCTGTAGGAAATAATTTCAAAGGGTGCAGGATCAGAGAAGAGTAAAGGTCAAATCTATGGTATTTTACTTTGGATTTATTCACTAAACAAAAACTGAATCCTTGGAGAAACAACTCAAACATGAAAAAAGTTTGAATTTAAACAGCAGGAAAACCAGGAAAGGAAGGGCTGTAACACATTTTTTTACACTGATTCACAGACACAAAGGTGGACAAAATGGACTTTTTTTTTCTTTGGTCTTACAAATGAAGCAGACAGGGCATCAAGCCAGGATTTTACCTTTTTTAATAATATAAGGAAATGGAGAAAGTCCCTCAGAAGAACATGGTCTGATTTTTACATTGTGGGAAAAAGAACAAAGGCTCCTCAAGGGCTCGTTTCAGTATAGCTGCTGTAAATCAATTAGATCCCCATGCAGTCTGACCTCGGCTGATAAAATGTTCTGGTAAGAATGCACAATTTAATTTCTTCCTGTGCTGTTCACAACTTATGTTTTTATGTTGTGACCTAGACAATAAAACCTAACTTCTGCTTGGGGTAGGAAACAGAAGATTTTGGCACCTCTAGAAAGAGAACTATGAGCAACTACTGTAAAAAATCCTAACAATAATTCTGTTCACTGTATTAAAAATTAACTTGAAAAACTTGCAGATGGAATGCAAATGATTATCAGCTGGAGCAATAGAAAAATACACCACTGCTGGCCTAAAGGAAAAGAACACCTGTTTCTCAAGGACATTCACAGGGACAATTTTTTTCAGACATTTCTCTGACAATGACCTACCCTTTCAACAATTTCACATAATATAGTCTGAAAAAGCTGCTATTCTTGCATGAAGTCCACAACTACATGTGAGGCACAAATGATACCAGGATCTACAAAAAGGTAACTGGAATTCCTCACGATTCTTTATTCCTCTGTGCATCATATGAGCCAGAGACTGCAGATGGAGAGTAGCAGGTCCTGCTCCAAGAGCTCATGTACCCCAGAAATCTCATTCTTAGGGCCAAACTCCAAGTTTTGCTCCTTCAATGTTTCAGACCCAAAAGGTATGAAAGGAGTGCAACAAAGGAATAAATATTGAGGAGTAGAATTTTTAGTCCTGCACATATGAATAAACTCTAGTGAACAGCAAAAAGAGCCACTTTCTTCTTTAAATAATTTAAACACTTTGTATTACATTCTGGCTAATATAAAGGTGTTACCTAAAGTACAGAGTAGGAAGACAAAATCCTAAGTGCAAACCTTTCCATACAAAAATCATGCTGAATGAAAAGTACACTACACAAAAAAATGCTGAATGACAAGATTGACATCTGCCGGAAGTTCCCATGGCATGCTAATCCTTAACTAGTGAAAGGTGCTGGGTTTGAGGTGGAAACCGCTTCATTTAAAAGAGCAGAGAGCTAATCTGCCAAAGGACAAATTTAAAAAAAAACCCAAACACCTAACTAAAGGCAAAAGCTTTGCATGAAGTGTGGGAATCCTTCTGAAGTAGCCTGACCTGTGGGGAAAAAAAAAGTCTCAGTTCAAATACCTAAGAAAAGAATGATAATGATCTGAAATATCAGACCTCTGGGAAAAGATGAGTCACTGCGTGGGCTGTCAGCAGAAAAGCTTTTTTGTTTATAAAGTCTGTCTTATGTTATGACTGAATAACAAAATGGAATAGGGGACACACAGGGAGATTATTTCATGGATGGGGCAAAGTGATTTCACTCTGTGGAGTTAGAACAATACATTGATCTGCAGCTATAGTGCAATAGTTTCAAGCACTCTTGTTTATTGCTCATATATTGCCTACTTTCCCAAAACTACATTCTAAAAACAAGCCTGATTTCTTTACTTCACCCTAGCTCTAGCCTAACTCTGCTCAGCCAACCTGTCCCTTGCCTTCCCAGCCAGCTCATCCCATCCCTTGCTCCTAGACAATGAGAAATTTAAGTGCAAAAAAAATTGTAGGTGATTGGGACGCGATCTTGTATTTGTAGTGCCATCAGCAAAAGGGGAAGGAAATAAAATATTGCATAATGCACTGCTGTACGTGGAGCATTAGATGTAAATGTAAATCATTATTTTTACTACTGTGGTGTACAGAGCTGCATTTTTAAATCCATCAGAATCCATTTTCAAATTAAGGAAAACTAGACAGAAGTTGTAGCCTTTTGAATTGGGCCTTCGTAGATCCAGTTGCTTGGGCTAGTTCAGATTTGCACAATAGGTTTGAATTAAAGGCTTTCGGGTATCTGCTTGCAGACAGCGGGTAAGGTCAGAGCACTGCTCCTCCCGTAGCAGCCCAGCACATCCATTATCACCGATTTGTCACTGTATCACAAACTGGAGAGAAATCAGAGCAGCGGGGCAAGGTTAGGATTCCAGACTGTACTTGAATAAGTATCTTCACAGTTTCAGCTGCTGTGATTTCTCTTGTTTCCTTCTCAGAAGATGCCATAACACAGGCATGCTGAATTCTGCCACACTGATTTTCACTAGGGTATTTTTATTTAGGATTGAAAACACCCAAAAAAGAAAGCCAAGAGAGTGCTAATCTATATCATATACTTAAAAAGGAGGAAAAAGCTTTTCTAAATGTCAAAAACCAGAAAAAATTCCCAATTTTCAAATTTGCCGATGTGACACAATTCCCAGAGACTTTGTAAAGTCAATATATTTCATTTTTCTGATGTGCACTATTTGTTTTACAGCAATAAGATATAATCAGACTATTGACTAGTTATTGGCACTTACTATCACTACATTACACACCATTGTCTGAGTCCTTTGTTGATTTTCATTCTTAGGACAGTAGTAAAATGCCAGCAGCCACAGCACAGGATCCGGTTCCACAGCAGCCTTCAGTAATTGTTCTGCTGCAACATCCAGCCATTCTCCAAAACAAGCAACCAAAAACCAGATTTCAAAGAGGTCAGTGAGAGAACTGGAAAACAATGCAGATAAAATTAGTTATTTCTCATTATTTAATATTTTAAATTGCCTTAAATTAAATTATTTTATATTTTATTTTATATTATTATTTTATATTTAAATTTTTTTCTTAAATTAACTGTCAGCATCCTTTAGAAAGGATGCTGACAGTTAATTTAAGAAAAAAATATTTAAAATATTCAACAAAGAATACCTTACCTACTAATCATACAGTCATGTAGTACTTAGTCTATTATCTGAAATCACAATCAAATGAGACACATCCAATGTTCTTACAGATTAGCTTTGACAGTACAACAGACTATCCTTAACAGCAGCTTCTAATAAACTGTGACATACGTACATAATAAAATTCATCCCTACTGTTTATAGGCTTCAGCTCCAGGATTTCCAAAACTTTAAAATCATATCACACTCTTAGCATACTGTTGCCTTTCACTTTCTCTCTGTTGCCTTCCAGGGTTATTTTCTGCTTTTTGGTAATTCATGAAGTGCATATTTTTTGGTAATTAACAAGGAATTACATTTAGAGGGACTAAATATAAAGTTTCAAAGTATATTTTAAAGTATATCTCCTGACTGTTAAAATTTATGTTTTCTTAAATGAAAATTTTGAAGGTGTTTACAAAAGGATTATTGCTATAAGAAAGGATGACCATTCATCTCTGCACTTTCTCATGTGTATTCCTCTAAAGTCAGAGAAGATTAAAGAGAAGAGATGTAAACTAATGGTAGGTGTCTCAGAAGCAAAAAGTTAAACTAAGCATGGAAAGACAAACAGAAGGATGGCTAGATTAAGAACTAGGAACAATTATTTCTAATAAATTTGGCAAAACTTTAAAGAATTAGATGGTTTTCTTATGTTTTATTCCTGAGGCCTCCAAAAGCTGCTGTGCCACCTTTGCAAGGAAACTACAAGAAGATCTTAGAAATTCCAGGAGCTGATATTACCATTATATTGAGGACTTTCTACCATTAGAGAGCCTGTTCTGGATTCATGTACCCTCCACTTCCATCCACACTGCTGTTTCTGCCCACTCTGTAGCGGCACCTATGCTCCACTGTCGTTGCAAAAAGTGGCACTTCACTATTTTTGGGACTTTCCCCCACAAAATGTCCACAAGTTCATCAACTGATCCACTGATTTCTAGTTTAAAACGTCATGTAACACTCACTGCTCACTGAGAGTACTACATACAATAATAAATCTCAGCACAGAAGCAATGTGTTGATTAGGAGGACACAGAAAGCACTTTGCTATAAGATTCACATTTGGTATAAAAGAAAACTTCTGAAAACCAGTCTATATAAAAAGAAAGCCCTGAGAACCAACAGGATATGCTGTGTAACAGTATTTTTTTCTCCTCTGTCCATCTTATTAAGTCAAAAGAATATGGAATCAGGAATAAAGCAATAAAAAAAACTGAATACAGTTTCTTCAAGGATATTAGTATTTATAACATGTTAGGTCAACTTTCTTTCTAACTGGGAGGGGTTTGGTAGAAAACATAATTGTTGTAGGAATTCTAAAGGAAGTAGGAGTGTATTCTGGCAAGTACAATACTGTTCAAACTAGTGTATTGTTTAAAATAAAGGAGGAAGGAATACTGTTCAAATAGACTATATATAAACCAAGCAAGGGCTGGGCAACAAAAGGAGAACAGACATGGTTATATTACTGTAATGCATTATGATGGATGGTATTTGTTTTATTTATTTAAGCTCAAGTTATGTGTTGCTTTAAGGAAACAGAATCAGCCATGGGTCACACTCCAAGGACAGAAAGGTTTGACACACTTCAGGGATGAACAGGCGAACACTGAGCTGTAGCTTATACAGAAAGTGAGACGCTACCACCAGACAGCCTGGCCTCAGAGAGAACAACAAAAAGCTTTTTTCTGCCACTCAGCAACAAAAAAAAAGACCCCCGCGAGTTAACTGAAACCAAACATGGTTGCAAGTATCTTTGTTCCAGTACCCAGGGGAAAACTGGGACAGAGTGGCTGGACAGCAGCAAGGCAGGAAGGGACCTGGGGGTACTGATTAAATGCAGACTGAACACTAGCCAGCAGTGAGCCCAGGTGGCCAAGAAGGCCAATGGCATCCTGTCCTGTATCAGCAATTGGACCAAGGCAGTGACTGTCCCCCTGTAGTGGGCACTGGTCAGGCTACACCTTGAGTGCTGTGCCCAGTCCTTCTCTCAATTTAGGAAGGACAGTGAGATGCTGGAGTGAGTGCAGACAAGGGAAGCCAACTTGGTGAAGGGTGAACCATACCCTGTGAGGGGCAGCTGAGGGAGCTGGGGTTGTTTAGCCTGGAGGGGGTTCAGGGGAGGCCTCACTGCTCTCCACAGTGACCAGAAAGGAGGGTGCGGCCAGCGGAGGGTCGGTGTCTTCTCACAAGCACCAGTGACAGGACAAGATGACAGTCTCAAGCTGCACCAGTGAAGGTTTACGTCGGACATTAGGAAAAAATTCTTCACAGAAAGAGTAATGAGACATTGGAATGGGCTGCCCAGGGAGGTGGTGGAGTCACTGTCCCTTGGAGATGTTTAAAAAAGACTGGATATGGCACTTGGTGTTGACAGCATGGTGTTAGGTCATAGGTTGGACTTGATGATCTCAAAGGTTTTTTCCAGCCTAGGTGATTCTGCGATTCTATGATCTTGTTTCACAAGTCTGCCTGGCCTTGGTGTTCTGTGTTTCTTTGGATATATTTCAAGTTTAAAATCAAAATTAATTTGGTTTTTTTGAATTTAAAAGCTGTTCGACATTCTTTGGACAGCTAACTCTCAGAGCAGACCTAAGTAAACTTGTATCCAAGCGCTATACAAGTCAGGTCTCATCACACTCCTTATAAGAAAGAATTACAAGGCAGCAGCAGATAAAGATGTATGCTTTTCCATTATTTTCATATAGAAAATTCCCAGAATATCCCCTACCAAAGCATAATTCAAGTAGACAAACAAACCCCAAGGGCAGCAGGTCAGAAACATGGAGTGACAGCCCAAAGATTAACACAACAAAAATGATACAGCAGTCTGGCATTCATATTTATGAAAATAAGGAAGTTTGCAGTTTGGGCATTTGTACAAGCCTGCAGAAAGCCAAGCTCCTTCATGAAACAGGGTTAAAAGTTTTGAGGGAGAAATGGGAGAACAGACAAGTAAACATTTCCATTATGCAGCTAGGTATTTATTGGAAGGAATGACAAGATTTTGTTTCCTCAGAGGCTTATTGGCCAGGTAGATAGATGTCATAAAGCTCAGGTTCAGAAAGTAATCCAAGTACTATTCTTAAAAATAAAGCCCAACATAGAGAATAATAAGAAAATTATGAAACACAGCCACTAAAGACTTCAAATGACGTGACCTTTCACAAACTAACGTGCAAATGACAAAAAGTTTGAAGATCTTATACTGCTTACCTAGTGTTTGTATCTTCTACTAATGCCTTGAGCATATCTGAAATGTGTTTCACGTGTTGAGACCAATATGTAGTTGGGAGTTCTGAGGATGAAGGATGAATACAAAACACTTAAAATCATAGCCTGTCCACTAGAATGTAATACTGAAGCATTAAGGTAGCTGTAAGGTTTCTCCAAATTGATTAAGTTATCATGAAGTATTTAAAATTTCATTTTAAAACTTCCCAATTTTAAACAATATTACTGTGTTTCATACAACAATTCATTGATAAAGCCATGGAAGGAAGTACAGCTAGATATATTGAAATGAGGCTGATGTTCCTTTGCTACCACAATATTAATATATAATCAGTGCAGTAGCACTTTTACAGGCTCTTGTACCGAGCTTTAATTATTGTCCATAAAAAAATCATGCCAAATTGAACAGTGGTTTCTTGATATGTATGAATAGGAAACATAAAAAAAAGTTGGGTTTGCAATCTAAAATATCAGACAGAATTCAAGCCTCAGAGAGAAACAGAAAGCCTGTTTCCTGTGAAGTACATGTGAATTTTTCCATAATGACAATTATGGAAAGAAGATTGCAGTATTTTTACAATCTCTGTAACATGGCTTCATTCCTACATAATTATGCATTTTTTCTTTGTTATTCACTTCTGATTTAGTTTTCTTTAAAGTTACATTGGTAGTTTTGTTACATAAGAACCAGATGTTCCTGCAGAAAAATGCATTAAAAAATATTATGAAAATTGCTAAATCAAACACACCCTATACAGGAAATTGCAAAAAGTTATCTCTATCCCTTTAGAAGTTATTTTAAGACATATACAGACCATGCAGATTCATAATGCTACAAATACTTTGTGAAAAAAACTTACCAAAAGGACGTCTGACTAAACCTCTAACAAGAGGCTGGTGATGGTATGGGAAGTAGGCCTTCAGTGGAAATTTATGCTAAGACACAAAATCATTATTTTAAGAGGTTTCTGGTCAGTTTTCAAAACAAACCAACAGTGAATAATCTCATCTAAGGCAGTAATTAACAATACAGAGTGAAGCAAGAAAACGGAAAATTAACTCTTCAGTTAATTTTAGGATTTGGCATTAAAAAGGGGGATAAATAGGAAATGCTTGCTTATAAAAAGTAATTATTTATAGATTTTAAAAGTATATGCATAAAAGAAATTCAGAGCATGAAGAAAATTACATTATTAGTCTCAGTTTTTTTCCCTGTAATCACGTAAGCTTTCACTCTTAATATGCAGTGCTTAAAAGAGACACTAGTTTAATTTCATTTTCCAGTGTAAACAGATTCACAGATTATATTAAACTAAGAAGCAATAACATCTACAGAATCTGAGGGCATTGTGTAGATTATTGCCATCTGTTCAAAAATGGAAACCTGAAATTCTTAGGACCTGATCCAGCAGCAGATAGGGCAGTCAGAGACAACAGACTTGCCCTGTTTATTGAGAATGTGTGACTGGTATACTGTGAACACTGCTTGTGTAACTGAGACTAGCAGCAGCACACCTCTGTTCGTTCTGCAAACACGTACTACAGGCACGTTTAACACAGAGCACGTAGGTGCAAGTGCAAGTGCTCCCCTTGAGACAGACAGAAAGCCAGCCAGGCCCACATGGTGATCACTGGCACAAAATCTAGTTGGAGTCCAGTAACTACCAGGGCACAGCAGGGTCAGCACTGGGCCCAGTCTTATTTAACATTTTCATTAATGAACTGGATGAAGGAGCAAGGACTTCCCTTGGCAAGTTTGGTGATGACACAAAACTGGGAGGAGTGGCTGATACATGAAAGGGTTGTGCTGCCATCCAGAGGGACCTTGACAGGCTGGAGAAGTGGGTTGACAGAAGCCAAAAAAATGTCAACAAGGAGAAAGTATAAAGTCCTGCACTCAGGCAGGAATAACTCCAGGCACATGCTGGCAGACACCCAGCTGGAAAGCAGTTTGCAGAGAAGGACCTGGGGAACCAGTGGACACCAAGGTGAGTGTGAGTCAGCAGTGTGCCCTGCAACAGACCAGCAAGTGGAATTTTGAGCTGCATTAGGCAAAGGATTGCCAGCAGGACCAGGGAGGTGCTCCTTCCCCACCCTTCAGCACTGTAAGCAGCCATTCCAGCAGAGTAACCTCAAGTTCTATGCCCAGTTAATGTCCAGTTAAATAAAGAGCCACAAGGATCATGAAAGACCAGAGAACTTCTATGAGGAAGTGCTGAGAGAGCCTGAAGAAGAGAAGGCTCAAGAGGGATCTTACCGATGTATATAAAGACCTAAAAGGAGAGTGCAAAACAAGAGAACTAGGGTTTTCTCAGTGGTGCACAATGACAGGATCAAAGGTAATGAAACAAACTCAAGCACAGGAGGTTCTGTCTGTATATCAGAAAACACGTCTGTAATTTATCTTTTCTCCTTGTTTTTACTGTGAGATGGCCAAGCACCACCATAGCTTGCCCAGAAGAGTTGTAGAGTCCCACATGGACATAGACCTGGACAACTGGTTCTAAGTAGCTATGGTTTGGAGCTGAGGAGTTAGACAAGATGACGTCCAGAGGTCCCTTCCAATTCTCAAGCAATCTATGATTTTCTCCTTTACATCTTTGAATCTCCATACCATTAATCTTAGAACACTTCTGTCTTCTTTTTTAGGAATAAGAAGGCATTTAGCTAACAAATCATCTCTTGAAGCACAGACTGGGAATATGAACACTATAAAATGTGATACAGCTGTAAATCCAATGAAGACTGTATTTAACAACTATTTTCTACTGGCATATATATGCATGCATCTTATAAACAAACAAAAAGACACATTCTCTTTATTACCTTTTTTCTTTGTTCTGTCAACAACAGTTAAATGAAATTACAGCACATGAATATATACACTCTTCTTAGACAGTCTATATTTCACTGGTGTAGTAAGACTCTGAAGTCTTTTTGTTGAGAGGACTTAGGCTAAATGGAAAAAACAATAATCCCTATAGTAAAGTATGCATGTAGCCAATTAACTTGCACCAAAAATTCCCATGAAAAAGTAGCCCCTTGATACAGTTAGTAGTAACCAAGACAACCACAGCATACACTGCATAGAAAACAGTATGGTGAAGTAAGGGAATAACAGCTTTCAGTATACTGTCTAGGCAAAGCCAAAAAGATTTGTTGCGTAAACACAATATTTTAGTCAGTTCTTTCCTCACGTAAGCCATCACAAAACGCAAACCAAGGTACTATCAGAAAGAACAAGTTTGGATGTGGATGGTTATAATAACTGCCATGATGTATAACTGGAAATAAACATTGAACACGGGTTTAAAATATTTACCCAGCTATTGAAAACAAAATTCACAGGTGAAAACCAATGATAATTCTGAAATTATCAAGGGAAAATAATTCATGAGGAAATTATAATTTCTATCAAATATGAATTTTAACTTCATAAATTTGCAAGCAACATGACTCAACTATCCTCAGGTCAGCTTTCACTAGCACCAAAACTTGAAGAAAATTTGCTAATACAAAACATACCCAAGAAGTGTTTTCAGTATGCCCATTCTTAAATTTCTTCTTCAATGACTACAGAAATGGGACTTTTTCCTAAGCAGGTTTAAACCTCATTTTCCATTTATACTGTTTTCAGTCTCCAAAAAACACGGAAAAAAAAACCTATCCCAGCAGCACTGTCTTTTTCCACTCTTCTGCTTTTTTTCTGCCAAACCTTGTTCTCTCTAAATGGTCTACGAAGTTATTATAAAAGACAGCGATTTCTGACAGCTGCCACACTGCAACAGAGAATCACTCTCCTATCACACAAACCTGTGAACTGCCAGACACAAGCCAGTTCTTTTGCCAGTTTTATGGACGCATGTTTGCCTAGAGTTTTTTCAGTTAACTACCTATAAATTCTGAAGGTCTCAGCAACCAGTAGAACCCACTTCATCTTCTGTCATTAATGTTTTACCATTCTTCTGCTAAATGCTACTGGAGCACACTATGTCCTGTCAAGGGCAAACAGATACCACAAAGACAGATACCTTTTGAATATATGTAATCATGACTAAAGGAAGTCATCAAAGGGACCAAAGGGATCTTTTGGTTATGACCAAAGTGAAAAAAAACGGATATGACTGACTTAAAGTTTAGGAAGCTATCTGTACTTGCCTTTTTGCAAGCTAACTGTTAACTAAAATTACAGTTGATTCATAAACTGTGAGACAAGGGACTTTTAATTCTATCACTGAAGACAACACCTTAATCAGAACTCCATGACTTAAACAGTATACAAGTTAAATAAAGGAAACTCAATATTTAAAACCACTTTAGAAAAATGGGCTGCAGTCCATGCTAGCTGCTAGCTAGCAATGCCAGCAGGCGAAGGACTTTCACCTTGAAGAAAACGTATCACCTGCACAGCAGGATTAGCTCTTGGGTGTCTGATGGGTGTGGAATCTTTACTTTCATTCTCACCCACTGATCCCAACCTGGGGGTACACAGTGTGCTGCTGCCATGCAGTCAGGGTGGCACAAGATTATCATGCACAGAGCTGATGTATTAAACAAGACAGCTGCCTGAAGCTAGAAGACAGATTCTATCACATTGCTAATTAAAAGCCAGTATGCCACAAGTTTCAAGAAATCCCAGCATTCTCTTAATTACCATCTCCTTCAAAAAGATGCAAAAAATCAAAGGAACTGAAAACTTCCTTAAGTTTAAAGTGAGAGGTTTTAAATGACAAGGTCTTCCCAAACTTGCATCATATGAATTTGATTTCAAAAAACAAACACGATGGTCAGGATGTGACCATGTGATCTGGGAATCTGAAGTCAAGTTTGCAACCTATAAGTAAAATAAGATTTTTCATATCTGTATTTCAAAATTTTAAGGTAAGAAACTGATCTTGCTTTTGTTTAAATTAGCACAAAACTGATTCTACTTAATTCAGTTCAGTAAGACCTGTACAAAAATCTGTGCAGAAGAAGAAAGACTAAGCTGTGAAATCTGAAAATTTAGACCAAGGAAAATTTCAGGAAGACCACTGTTGACGATCAGAGACTGAAACCAGTATGCATTCTGTGTCCCAGTATGTATTACCTTGTGTCTTTTACCTTCTGAACAGACAAATATGACTACTTAATATCCTACTTATAATTATTTAAGGGACTATGAATGGGGTTGTTATCTCTGCTTCATTTATTGTCAGAGACCCTGCTACTGCAAAAGAAAAATTCATCTAGCATTTTTCCTCCTTTTTATCAAAGATGAATGTTCATGTTCACTCTGCAGGCAGAAACCTCAGCATCAGGGGAACTGAGCCAGGGAAAAGCACTTTAGGCCAAGGTACCTGAGGGTTAAATTAGGTAAACTGCTCTTACATAGTAATTTCATGCTATAATTTTATGCGCAGGTGAAGATGTTTGAACTGAACTTTGGCATATCTATGCAGCTACAGAGGGATGCTATTATTTACCTCATTATATTCAGTCACCTCTCTTAAGAGTAGAATTGGGTTTTTTTCTTGCAAAATTTTGCCTTTGTCACTGGAAAAAACCACTAAAAAGAGATCTTGACTAACCTGTTTGTTGTCACTCTGATAAGCCTGAAGGAAGAGCTGTGTAAACACCTGTATTATTGTCACAACTTCTGAAGTTCCATCAGTTTCCATCAGTGTATTCCTATGCATCGAAAAGTTAGATATGACAGATCAGATAATTAGTCTGCCCATCACACCACTGTTAATTGAATGAAAGAAGTATATTCTTTGTATGCTGTAGATTCAAACTGTGTCTGAGCTCATTACACCACTAACAGAAATACTAACTTTGCAGGCATTTTAGATTTTATTTTAAATAAAAAAAATAAAAAAAAAAAAAAACAACCAAAACAAATCTCATACACAACTCCTACAAATAAATTAGACTTAGTTAATATATATAATATACATGCAGACAGGTGATTTATCCTACCTAAATAAGTATACAATCAAAAAGACTAGCACAACTTTATTAGCCAAATTTGGCATCTGATCAGTTTATTGTGTTCAGAGCAACTACTCCCTTGACTGAGTTAAGCATACTTTATACTGTTTTGTGGCACTGCATCCCATAGGCCACTCTAGAGGTTTACAAAGGTGAGTGCTTCAACTTGCCTTCCACAGAGCAAAATAACCTTGAGCAAATGGAGGAAGTGGAGAAAAACACACAGCAGCAATTTCCATTCTCTTATTTGAAAGACATACAGTAGAAAGGAGAAGAAATGTTCAAAGTTGCCAGTAAGATACAAGTAATTAGAAAATTGTTTCCTTCCTTCTGAAACATATGAACAGCTAACACATTACTGTAACATAGAAATGTCACAAAACTACAGGCAAATATAATCACTGGTAAAAAAAATAAAGAAATACTACATGGAAAGCCTAGGTGTGTGGGCTTCTGTATAGCCACACAAGGCAAGAAAACATAGCAAGAAAACATTGGGAAATAAAAGCAGTATGTGATATCACTGTGATAAGATAATATAGAACAATTATCTCAGTATGCATGCAAATAGCAGGAAAAGTTATTACAGAAAGAGTTAAAATCCATACTTCCAACAGAACACTAGCCACAAATATAGAAGAAATTTTGTGCCAGCTATAGAAACCTAACACAGTTTCCAAGCAAGGAAGTACATTTTCTTTAACAGCAGTTCTCTAAAATCTCACATGTGATTACAACTGCAATAGTATCTTAACATCTGCACACCGCTTGATAATAGTTGGAAGGATGTTAGAGAAATAGAACAAAAATAAACAGAAGGCTGCATAAACCAACTGGTCTGCAAAAAACAAGCTAACATATACAGCTTCATGTAAGTATCAAGAGGAGGTGAGACACCTCACCTTTTTCACTCACAGGAGGTGAGTATTCTTAAAATACATCAACATTTTAATACCAACAATGTAGAGGAACAAGCACACTAAGCAGAAAAATTCAAAGAAAGGGAGCAGAAATGTAGGCTTAGAATCAGGAAAACATAATTTTTTATGACAGTTTGAAACATTAATAGAAGTGCAAAGTTTTACCAGGAAATACTGTGTTGGACAAAGTCCTGCATTAGCTGAGAAACATAATTTTATCCACTTCTACTGTCGACCAAAGGGGAAGGATGCAAAAGTGCAGTGAATTCATGTGTTTTTTGTTTTTTTTTAAATATTCCATATAGCATGACCTTAAATAAGCCAAGAAGCTCAGAAAAATTTTGTCTCCCTGTACCATCACAATTACAGTCTCCAGCTTAAGACATCAGTACACATCTGCTGAAGTCACATCAATTTTTAAATGCATCTTGCTTTGGGAAAGTGATCAACCCTTCAGAAAATGCTATCTGCGTGCAGACACGGGACCACAGCAACAAAGGACTGCCAGAGCGGTGGCTCCCAGGTGGCTCCACTCTCACAATACAGTGGTCTACAGTTTCTACAGCCAAGCCTCTTCTGTTAGTGCCTGCACAAACCTAAATGTGCACACAGACACACAAATGTTCCCACACACATTACCTGGGAGCCCTGTTTTCCCAATGAGCCAAGGATGTCAGTCGCTAAATACATTGCTGTTGTACTGGAATTGTTAACACTGATAACCTCGGCAGTAGATCTAGTTAAAATTACTAAGTATTAAGTCAAGTGAAAAGAAGAGAAAAGCCACTGAAAACTGAATATAAAGGATTTGAAGCCCCCACATGGTAACCAATATATAGGTTCAAAACAATTTTAATGCATTCAAAACCAAACTCACTATTAATAGGTGGATCAATATTTGAAGGCCATTAAAAGCATATCTAACATAAATCCTGAAAACCATAAATACAATGTAAAAGAGGCTACACTGGCTAGTGCAAAAGTTTTTGCTAAATGCTACCTTCATGCTGGCATGGGCCAAGCCATTTCAGCATTTATAATTTTCACCTCAAAACTGTATTTCAACCACAAATCTCTACTGAAGTACAAAATAAATTACAAATTTTAAAGGCTAAAATACAGTGTAGTCAACTGTACCCATGACTATTATGATGCAAGTTTTACTTAAAGTTCACAAGATTTTTAACATTTTTCATTATTTGCAGTGTACTACATAGAAAGGGGCTTTAAAGCAGACAGGTAAAGAAAACGGTATTCTGAAATTACAATATGTTGCAGATTATAATACTGCTTCTGCTCTTGAAGAAAACCTCAATGTTTAAATGGGTTATTTAAACCCCCTCCCACAGTAATTTCAAAACTTACTTGAAAATTTCATTTACAATTCTGAAAATAGCAGGATGGCTTGCTGCTTGTGGCTGTTGATAATCAAATGAAAGAAAATTAGGTGTTAATAAGGAACAACTCATACAACTGTCATTGCATAATTTACAGCTTAACTCATGGATGCTATTACACAGCCATTATTAAACTGTAACTCTAAGATCAACTCTCACTAAGCCCTCAGATTTTCTCAGGATTAGAATACTTAGGATTCTCTACAGCGAGACCAAGCAGGCTCAAGAGCTGACAAATGCAAACACCTGGGATCCCAAACTGTTTATGACAACAATCACTACAAATACTAAAGGTGGCAAACAGAAAGAACAGGTCGTCACATGCAATTGCTAGAGGCTAGACACAGGGAGTATATTTTCAAAAAGCTTTTCTTTCCTCTCTGCAGACAATCCTCTCAGGATGTGCTTTGAGACTCTTGCTACATCTTCAAAATTAAATTCCACAAATTAAATTGATTTTATCACCTTTTTCTTTAATAGTTTTGCATGAATTTTCATCCAAGACATTTTCTCACAGTATAATTTTCTTTTGTGAATTCAGTGTTGCTAGTACAAGCTAATTGTTTCAGTGTATCAAAAAAAAAATTTTTAACTAGTGAAGCCTTTTACCATGCTACCACACAAAACATTTTTTTGAGAAAATTGTTATATTGAACATGCACCAGTAAACACACTGCTTTCTAATCCCATATGCCTAGGCTTTTATAGAGCACCTAGAAAAAACTGCACTTACGCATTTCCCAAAGTATTAAGTTAAAGTCTAAGTTGAAAAGCAAATCCTTACCCAGTGTCTCTGATGTTAGTGCCTGAAGATTTAGTAAGAATATAGCTCTTGAGCAGCCTAGTGTAAAGCATGTTGAATAAAACGCATTATATAAACTTCAGGAAGCACAGTACTTATAAAACTGCATTTATTAATACAGCTTGAAGTGCATAATGCATTACTGAAAACTTGTATGCACTTGTTTCAAGCTAAAAAAGTACCAAGTAGAAAATTAACATAACACTGTAATAATATATATAAATTATGTTTATAAAAATAAGCTATAATCATTATTATAACAATAGTAATAACAATTAAAATAATATCTTTTAATTGTACACAGGGAGAACAAGGACGTTGCCTGCTACGATCCATACATGATAACATTAGAAAACAAACAACCCTCAGTAAGAGCTGTTCAGAAGAGCTGCTGCTGCCGGCAGCTGTGGCCGCCGTACTGTAGAGAGGAGCGGTCCCGCACCTTGCTCTTTTGCTGTTTCGCCCCCGTTTCTCCAGGCCGTGCGCCATGCATGGAACGTGCGCCACCTCCTGCTCCTGCAGGAGCAGCGGCGCCAAAAATCCCGCTGCCGCCGGAGCGGGCAAGGAACCCGCGGCACCAGACGGGCAGGAGGCACGGGCCTCTCCTTCTTCCGGGGTTTGGTTTTTTGCTCGTGTTTTGTTTGTTTGTTTCTTTGTTTGTGAAAGATTGGGCTGTATCTCCAGAGCTGTCCACTAGACCCAACCATCCTGAGGGGTACTGGAGAGCAGTGGAAAGTGAGAGTATGTTTTCAGTCCTGTAGGCTGAACAGTTGATTCCATACTTCCTCCCCTGTCTTTCACTCTACCCACCTTTGCACGCACACTTCTCTGATGAGGAATGGACACACTGTTGCTTAAGACACGCTACAAACCAGAAAGGGTCCACCAGAGCATCAACTCACAGACCAAGATCCAATCCTAGCTCTTTTGAACAAGTCTAAAATAAATGTGCTACTGTATACAACAATGAAAAACTCTGCAGGTCTTCCTGGCAGACAGCAGCAATCTAACAGTATTCACTACAAGAAATCATAATTAATAGCCCCTAGGATTTTATCTACACTATTGAAATCAAAATGAATTTCACCACTGGTAGTCAAAAGGGAAAAAACAAATCCAAGCCCAAACCTCACTGTTACCTAATTTCACAAGATTTTGATCAGTGGACTATATGGAATTAATTTGCAAGCATTCAAGAACAAGAATGCTGTGATAATGCAAAATTCTGCCCCACAATTTGAAAATGCCCTTTGTGTAGCAAGTCAAGAGCAGGCAGCACAATTCTGCTACTGCCAGGAGCGGTTCTGGAATTTGGGAGGGATTATCATTTTCAGGAGGGATTTTAATAAATTTTTCTTCTTGTTGACATTATCTCCTTATATTTTCAAAATTAAAAAGCATTTTACATTTCAATAATCTTGTCTGCAACTATTCAATGCTTTTCACAGAAATCAAACCCTATGTATTGTTCAATCACTTCTAAAACATGCACAATACAGACAGCACAAAACACACTAAACAAAAAGATTTTTTAAACACAGAGCTGCATGTGTGGTATTATGATACAAAAAATGTACTTTTAACATAATGTTTTCCAGACACAAATCTTAAAGAACTACACCACTTATGTATCTGTATTATTAGAAAGCAGAATCTGTAACAACTTATAACACAAAACCAGAACTGAGTAAAAAAATAAGAAAAATACATCTGTATCTACAGTAAGCAAGTAAGTGGGAAAAATGGAGAAAGAATAATCTGCATTTTATTCGCATCACAGAATCCTTTGTAACAATCACAAGTAGGAATAAATATGGGGAAGTAAACATATCCAAGGTCATACAAATTTGAGGTGGTAACTCTTAATTTCCAGACTCACATGCAATTAATTGGACACAACACTTCTAGAAGTTAAGCACATCTAACTTTAGGAAACTACTACAGTGTTGTATTTCAAATGTTGTCTCCATCTTCCAATTGTATATTTGTATTTCTGAATTTTATTTTATATTTACCAGTTTAAAATAGGAAATGTTACATTTTTCTTATAGGAAATGCCAAATGTGGGTTTTTTTTGAAGCATACATTTCTTTTTAAAGCACAAGCATATTTTTACAGAAGTTTTAAAAGCACATTAAGAGTCATTTTCTCTATCTTTCCTCTTTTCTTCCCCTTAATGCCTCTTACATTGGCTCTGTACACTGGGGAGGGTTTTGGCTGCACAGAGCTCAGGGACAGTGGGGATAAGGCTGGGTGCCTGTGGGTGACAGTCAGAGGGATGGCCAACATGGCAGAGATCCTGCTGGGAGTCTGTCACAGACCACCCAGCCAGGATGAAGTGAAATACTCTATCAGTGGATGTTTCCTGATCACTGGCCCTTGCTCTTGTGGGAGACTTTAACTTGCCAAATGTCTGCTGGAAACTCAGCAGTGGAGAGGAGACAGTCTAGGAGGTTCCTGCAGTGTGTGGAAGGTAAATTCCAGACACAGCTTAAGGGAGCCTACCAGAGCATTCCCTGCCCAACCTGCTGTTCACAAGGAGAGAAGGGCTGTGGGACATGTGGTGGTCAGGGACCATCTTGGGCACAGTGACCACGGAATGACAGAGTTTCTCTGTTCTTGGTGAAGTAAGGAAGGGATCAACAGAACCTCTACCTTGGACTTCCAGAGGGCAGACCTTGGCCTGTTCAGGACTCCGGTTCAGAGAGTCCCTCAGGAAACTGCCATTAAAAACAAAGGGGTTCAGGAATGCATTAAGAAGGAAATTTTAAAGGCCCAGGAGCAGGCCATCTCCATGTGCCAATAGATAAGCTGGCAGAGAAGATAACTCCCCTGGCTGAACAGGAAGTTTTCACGGGAACTCAGAGAAGAAAGGAGAGACCTTTGGAAGAAGAGCCAGTCAACTCAGGATGTCATATGGAGAAAACTAGAAAGGCAAAACCTCAACTAGAACTCAATCTGGCCACTGCTGTGAAAGATTATACAAAGTGTTTTTATAAATACTTTAACTACAAAAAGAGGGCCACAAAAAAATTTCCATCCTTACTGGACATGGAAGGGAACATGTTAGGGATGTTAGGGATGAGGAAAAGGCTGTTAGGGATGAGGAAAAGGCTGGGTACCTAATGCTTTTGACCACAGTCTTTAACAGAAAGCTCCATTATCCTCAGGGCAGCCAGCCTCCTGAGTAGGTAGACAGGATGGGGAGCAGAAGAGACCCCCTGCAATCCAGGAGGAAGTTGTGAGTGACCTGCTGTGCCACTTAGACAATCACAAGTCTGTGGAGTCAGATGGGATCCACCCAAGGATACTGAAGGAGCTGAAGTGCTCATTAAGCTGCTCTCCATCATTTATCATTAGTCCTGATTGAGGTCTCAGATGTCTGAAGGTTGGCCAGTGTGACACCCATCCACAAGATTGGTGGAAGGGAGGATCCAGGGAACTACAGGCCTGTCAGCCTGACCCTGGTGCCAGGGAAGGTTATGGATCAGGTCACCTTGTGTGCCATCACACTGCACACACAGGACAACCAGGGGATCGCGCCCAGCCAACAGGGATTTGGGACAGGCTGCCTGACCAACCTAATTGCCTTGTATGACCAGGTGACCTGCCTATTGGATGAGAGAAAATTTGGGGATATTGTCTACCTGGACTTCAGCAAAGCACCTAATTTTAAGGACAGAGGGGCTTGAATGAGTGCAGAGAAGGGCAACAGATCTGGTGAAGGGTCTGGAGTGTCCTGTTAAGAGCGGCTGAGAGCTGGGGGTGTTTAGCCTGGAGAAAAGGAGGCTCAGGGGTGACCTTATCACTCTCTAAAACTGCCTGAGAGGAGGGTGCAGCCAGCTGAGGATCAGCCTCTTCTCCCAGGCAACCAGTGACAGGACAAGAGGACAGAGTGCCAACCTGTGTGCAAATCAGGAAGAATTTTGTCAGTGAGAGGGTAGTTAAACATTGGAACAGGCTGCCCAGGGAAGTGTTGGAGTTACCATCCCTGGAAATGTTCGAGAAACAACTGGACGTAGCACTTAAGAGTCATGATTTAGCTGACATGGTGGTTTTCAGTCAAAGATTGGACTCGATGATCTTGGAGGTCTTTTCCAACCCTAATGATTCTACAAGTCTATGTTAACAAGGTGGAAAACAAAATGCAGCACGAACAGATGGTTTATAAAGAAAAAGACAACAAATTTTAAGTTCTCTCAACCTATTGCACTTTTCTTGCAACATACCTTTGAAACAAATAAAACTACTTTGGAAAGCTATCTTAGAATCAAACAGAAACTATAAATGACACCAATTCAATCATGTATCTTTTTACATACATGGGCTTTAAAATCTGTGTATATACATATCTATCCATTCCTGGTAAAACATAAAATACTAGTATGTGTATTTACTGCATGTTTAGCTGTTAATGCAGACATAAAAATCCTAAAATTACTTCAGAAAGGAAGACATCCACTCACCCACTCAATTTCAAAGAAGGTAAGAGACCATCTGTGATGGCCACTTCACTTGTTTTTATTACTTCTGAGTAACTACAGAATTTCCAATATTAATTTCAGTTTAGCCACAATCACACAAACATAATAGCATGCCATATAAACATAAGTTAGTGGACCATCACACAACAATTACTCTTGGAATTAAAATATATGAGTAGTACGTATCAAGTTTATTTCGTAAGAGAAGTACAGTAGTTAACAACTATCTGCCTACCTTAGATCTCTGTGAGGTTAATGTACAATATGATTACTGTATCAAGACACTTGATTTAGATAAGTTACTCTGATAATGAAATTATGAAAGAGCTGATTGAAATTTCCTTCTTAAAATGTATTATAATCAAATCACTAACATATTTCTGACTATTTGTCCTCTAAAGGTTTTCTTCCAAGGAGGAAAGTAGAAATCTAGTTTTGTCTCATGATTCCACCATTACCATATCCGTAAGGTAAACAGAGCTTACATCCTAAAACACATACTCCAACTGCCAAAAAATGCATATCCACATTCCTAAATAAATATTTGAATATCCTTTAGGCAGGTTAAATTAATATACTGTTGGAATTGAAGTGTTGACTAATTTAATGTCACACAAGTGTCTTTACTGTACCATTAACATGTACAAAACATCTTTATGCATCTAGACCACTATTTCCAGATCACATTACTTTCCTTCTACACTGCCTCTCTGAAGCTTCTCATCCTGTTGTTTTTACCTATTATGCCATCTCCCATATATGTACCCTCCCTCTTATCAGTGCCTATCAATCCAGCTGCCTACTGCTCTTCTTTACGGCTCCATTCATTCCATTCTTTGTCCACAGGATGTCCTCTCTAAACCAGCTTTCAAAGCTGCTACACTGGTGTTGTGCATATCTTATTTTGAAAGCACAAAGTCTTTGGAGCAGAGTCAAGTAAAGACAACCTAAGTGTGCCAGCATAGTAATGTTCCATTCTTTTCAGAGATCAGGATGTAAAGGAAACTGAAGGATGAACATTTTTATTAAATGACAAAAACCAACACTCAAAACAAGTATTTGACTCTTTTTTAAGATTTTTTTTTCCTCAGCTGGTACATGGTGTAGTACCAGATACTATATAAAATTACAGTATATCTGATATAGAAAAATGATGCATAGACCCTGGTTGCTGTAATACCTAAATCCCCAGATGGCATATGAAGAACTGCTGACAACAAGGCATTTATGAGATTTGCAAGTATCGTAATGGAACCCTAAAATTTCCAGGTTCAATTATAAAGGAAGAATTTTTAAAGGTAGCATTCTTTTCCTGACTAGAATACATACTCTGTAAGCAGTTTCATAGGCTGAAAATAAAATACCATATGCCATTCATTAGTTATGTCATTTTACGAAACATATAATTTGAGTGCATAGCACACATGCTATTTCACACTGCAATTAACAATTAAATTTACATTTAGTGCTGCAAACTAGCTCATTATTTTGGAAAAAGTACTGTGCCAGGTTTTCTCATAGGGAAGATTTTTTGTGCTCTGCATAACATAGCATTTGAAAACAAATTTTAATTACAGTGTAGCAAATGTTTTACATTAAGAATTTTATTCAGGTTAGCAAACAAAACCAAGTAACTAAGCAGTCCACAACAAGGGATTCCAATTGTTCAGACTGCTGGACAAAGGGCACAGAGATTGAAGTAAAAGCAGATTCAAATCCTTCCTGGCCAGAGTTTATAATTTTTAAGACAGAGAAAGCACCCTCACCACTGGGATCCTTGTTTCTTTACCCATTCTTCATGACTGGATGAAATAATTTTTCACTTCTACCAATTCAGTGTAAAAACTAAAAAAATAGTGGTGTTTGTAATACTCAAGATTTGGCTTCCATTAGCAAGTCATATGTCCCATAATGGCCATTTATGCTAACATATGTCTCTATGTTGACATATTTGAAAACTGTCACTCCTGAAGCACAAAAGAGCAGTATCAAATGTACTACATGTTGCACATACCAGCAATGAGTCTTTTATGACATGAGCCACTTCTTCCAGTGAATTCAACTGAATGGAAAACAGCTGGTCTAAAAGATGCAAGGTAGCTTTTTCAAGGCTTGGTAAGTGACGAAGCCAAAGACTGAAGACAGCTGATTCAGGAAGGGAGATCTTCTTCCTGGTTTAGAGAGGAAAATACTGTTTTACCTGAGTAACTAGAAGGAGGACAAAAAAAATGTACTTTTCTTTTTTTTTAATATATTGGGGAAAAAGGAAACACAGTGATCAACCTGAAGCAAGAGAGAGATTATCTCGTTTACAGTAGCCTGTTCAACAGCAAATCATAATAGCAAAGAATAACAGGAAATCACCATCATCTACAAATGCAACTTTACCACACAAGTTCAAAACCTAGAAATTTGGTCATGTTGGATCCCATCAAAGGGAAACAGAATGTTTAAGTCTGGAGTTCCCTTCCTCTCTTGAGAAAGGTCCTGTCCCAGGACCTTGCGCTCTCTCACACCCAGATGAGTTCCTGCAGACAGCTACTGACAGATGAACAGGAAGGTTTCTGATCTATAACCAAAGCATCACCTATCCTTGCAGAGAAATAAGGAAGAAACCCAAAACCAATAACAAAAAAAAGGGAAAAAAAAAAGGTAACAAAAGAAGAAAAAAAAAATTACTTAGAGGTAGCTAAGTCTTCAGCCAACCAGCACTGACCAGAGCTATATAACAGACAAATAGTTAAGACAACAAGTTTTCTCTTCACCTAAAGACTTCAGCTATTGGTGTTGTAGCATCACAAAAGAAAAGGCACAGTGTGGACAAGCACAAATCAAAATATACTAAACTAACCTCCCAGGAAAAGCGATCATAGCACAAACACCCTAGAATATTTTTGTAGCTATTGTGATAGTTTCAAATTAAAAGGTTCAAATCAAAACAATACATAAATAACAATAAATATTTGCCTTGGTCTTAAGATTAAAAATTAGCCTGGAGAGTACATGCAAACTAAAGCTACTGATAAAAGGAGAAAAATACCAGCAGAAAAAATACTAAAGCCTTTTTAGGATCTATTTTTAATGTATTTATTTTGTCATACATTTGTTTCATTATCAGCTCTCAGAATTCTGAATTTCATTAAAAAGCCTATATTTTTTCCATTCAGAATTATGAGTGGAATCACCTTAAAGTATACATGAGGAGACAAGAAATACACTGAAGTATCCAGAATTCAAAACTGTAAAGTAATGCTCAATATCAGGATGCAGTTTTATTAAATATTATTATTAAAGCACATACACATATGAGAGTAAATTAAGAATGACAAGAGATTAGCTGATTTTGCCACTATCAACTTTCTTGCTGTTTTTGTGACAGCATGGTAGATATTATAGATAGTGTGGCAGGAAAAGCAAGCTAATAAGCTTACATAGAGGTGCTGCAACTCTAAGATATAAAAACCATATAGGAAATTAACTGTAGTGATTACACTCCCACAGCTGAACTTGCAGACAGCCCCACCAGGACAATTTTGAGTTCTTTGGAGCCCTGCAAGTGCCCTGTTTTCTGGGGCAGGTATCACCCATGTCCAGAAATAAGAAATGTTCAAAACTCAACGGAGTAAGGGAAAATAGAAATCAGTTGTCAGAGCAGGGAAAAGATAAAATACAAGCACATTCACATCAAGACCACATGAGTTCAGTGACAGTCCTGGAATAAATCATGCAAAGCCCACGTGGTCCTGTATCTGCTCTCAGGGAAACCTTCACAAACTGCACTTTTGCTGAGGACCCTGCAAGAGTCACTTAGTCAAAAGTCACTATACCAAGAGCCGATACACCTGTGAAATCAGATATATTTGTTCACTGTGATAAGTAAGCAGCTCAACAGTTAAAAAAGAGACATTTGCTCCAGTCAGAAGAACCTCTTACGACCATCCAAAGAATGACCTTACTCACAACATGGAGGATAAGTCCATCATGATGGACTGCCCATCAGCTTACTGATATGAGAACAAAATGTCTGTACAGAACCTGTGAACTTGCCCTCAAAGTCATTCAGATTTGTGGAATGTGAACAGCCAGAAGCCACAGAAGATGGACAAGTGGAAGAGTGAAAGATAGCTCTGTCTTTTTGGGCACAACTTTCACTACAAACTGCCACATTCATACTCCTTTTTCATTCCTTTTCCTCGACTTCTAGTAACACTCATGGATTAGTTATTGTACTTTTCCATTAATTATCTATTTTTGTCTGGAGCCCTCAATGGATCACCATAAAAATCTTCCTTGGAACATCTCGGAAATTATGATGAGTACAGAGGAAGCAATTAAAACTGATTAAAAAAGGAGAGAAATGGATAATTGACATTAAATGTTCACAAGGGACATTTTCTAGTATAAAAAAAATTGTTTATAACACAGCACTTCAGCTACCATTTGAATAAAGCTGTTCTCTTTAAAGAGAATAAAGCAGGCTGTGATTTCCCTGACATTTTCCCTTTCCTGGCATAGCCAACCTTGCTGATCTTCAGGTTCACTCAGCTGGTTTTCATCCATAGACTAATTTTATCAAAACAGTGGGTTTAGTGGTAGTGAAACAAGCAGAGCTGTATTTCACAAATTGCTCTTGTCTCAGACTCATTAAAACTAATTTGCTGAAAACCAGGAGAATTTAAAATCTGGAGAACAAATTTCACAATCCCCCCCCCCAAAAAAAAAAAAAACAAAAAAAACAACCAAAAAACAAAACAAAAGAAAAAATTTTGAAAACATCAAACGTAAGAATCTATCTTACACACAGAAAAATTAAAATCGCTCCCAAAATGTCAAGTTAGGGATGGTAATACACTTATGTGACACATAAATGACATTTCTGTGAAAAATTATCACAACTTCCACAAAATTCCTAAAATCTGTTGAAGGTTTTAACCTCCTTTTTAGGAAATAGGTGAGACAAAGTCCCAGTCAATATTTAAAGGTGTTATGCCACAGTTTGTGCATTACAGCAATGCAAAATTCTGCTTTGGCCCACATCCTTAGCTCTGCTATTCAACTGCAAGGGAAGTACTTTACTAGAAAAGTATAGAGTGCATTCAGCATACAAACGTAGAAAAAGGGCATTGAATTGAATTTATAGTCTTTATGAAAAAGCAAAACAATAATACAAATCCTGCTACTTACTTTAAAAAGGCCTCATTCACAGCCTCTAGAAACTCTGAACTGAGAATTTCTTTTGATGACCCTCCGTGGTAAAGAAGGAGAGTTTCCAGCAATGGAGTTAGATCAGGCAAAGTAATGAGAGGCACACAGAAAATGGAAATAGCATTCACACGACTGGCTGAAATGCTGAAGAAAAAAATGAACACAGTTCACTTTTCAAGAAAGTCATAAATTCTAAACTGTTAAGCAAAAAAAAAAAAAAAGAACATTAATAATTACAGAATATTAAATGTAAGGCATGCATACCTAACTGCTGAAAAATTATTTACTAAAACATTCCTTATTGTGCGCAGCATGTTAAGAAGTCACACAAAATTTTGATATTTAAGTGCTCAAAGCAAACCATGCAAGGGATATCAACACAACTCGGAATTTAACCCAGTTGTGTTGGCTCCATCACCACAGCCTTCCTAGTAAACACTTCTCTGTCTTTCCCAGGGTCAGTGAAGGAAGACTAGAGACTCATAGCTCCCAGGCAAGTTCTCTGTAGCCCCAGAAGAGACAAGCTAGCTGCTTTTCAGGGCTCCTATTGCTTTTTTAACCTTTCTCTCCTCTGAACAGAAACAATTTATGAAACCTGCTGTCTTCAAGTGCTCAGCTGGAACACTTTTGTCTTACAGATCTACAGCTGAAGAAATATGTAGCCCCTTTGGATCTTAATACACAAACCACTTGCTGGATCTTCTCACTAAAACTACATGATTGGAACTGGTTAAAGACAGTGGAATCTGGAACATAAAGAAAATACAGAAACTTTGGAACTTTAAGAAAATTAAAATGGCAGAGACTAGATTTGCAAAAGGAAATCACAACTTTCTCAGAGAATATGTATTGTTTCTAGCACACGAAACTGTAGCATTGACAGGAAGACACTTACAAAGACCAAGAACTATGAAACACTGAAAGAATTCTAGCAAATTAAAACATTGTCCTATATTGTTTTAAAAGGCTTCCCTCAGTTCCTGCAAATTTCTCCTGAGTCACTAAAAGAAGTGCATTCTCTGAAAGAATCTGAAAGTATTTTCTTTGAGGAGTCACCAATACTACTCCTGAACAGCTGAGACGGGAATTAAGAAGGCTGCTTGGCAGTATGAACACGAGGTACTAATTATCATCTTTTAAACAGAGAGAGAAATAAAAAATGAAATATTTTCAAACATGCATATTTCTGAGTAATTACCTGATTAAATATTTGTTTAAGGTTTCTTATACTGAAATACTTCAAAATGCACTTCTGTTACAAGTGCTTTTGTAAGAACAGTAATTATTCGGATGATCTTATCGTGCAACAGTATTTTCCAGGATACACAAAATTATGTTTCTAATTCCTTATCCAGGATTAGCAAAATCTAGCAGATTAATTTACTCTTACTTAACTTCAGAAGAAAAACCCTGTAAAGGTAGTTATGTTCTACATAATCTTCAAAATATGTTCTTGGAAAACAGTACACAATTCACTCTACTGTGTACAAGGAATTTGCAACCATATTATCATCTGAATTTTTAAAATATCACTAAGTGCAGAAAAGAGAAAATGTACACCTCAAAAGCAAACTATTTTTGTCTCTGGAATTTTAATAAACATCACATTTTCTACACTCAAAAATCACCCTAAGTTCAAAGTTTTCTCTTTCTCCCAGCAGAAATCAGGTATTTTTCTTCCCAACAGTCTCTACCAGCTTTTCAGCTAAGTCTGTTTCACCCTACTTTTTAAAATGTGGGCATTTAGTTCCTACATGGAAAGAAACTTTGTGATATTCCTCATTAACTGCATCCATAATTTTAATACTAAAATCAGTTCTAAACAAATTCAGCTCATTTAATCTTCCTTACCAAATATCTAGATGCAAAGAGGAAGGGGAAGATAATAGCCAAGTTAAACCAAGAAAGGCACAAATCAGACAGCAAAAGGACATGATCGTGTGACTAAGAGTGACAACAGCACCATTAGGCAAGTGATCTTTGAAGGTCCCTTCCAACCCCTCTACTACTACTATGTTAAGTACAAACTCTTACATGAAGCCAAGCTTACCAAACTTGTCCACACCTTAAATTATCTAACATATGTATCCGAAACTTTTCAACTGAAGCCTAAGTTGCCCAAGACTGTAAAATGATCCTCACTGAACTGTAATGACCCAAATCAAAACATATCAAACTTATGTTTAGATAACACCTACCTCTCCTGAATGTTAAGTCCATTGAACCGGTTTTCTCTGAGTTCTGTTACTAATGAAACTACCATCTGTTAAATAAAATAAAAGTAAATAAAATACATTTACTGACAATAAGCAGACATTAGTTGCATGTTTCTCTGTGTAACTGTAAAGGATGTACTGCAATGGTTAATAACTTCCTCTGTTCATCTATTTTGATTTTTTAACTACTGATGTCAAATTAAAGCTTTACAAATCACTGAACAAACTGTACTGCAAAATGTTATTTTACACATTATACACTTTATACATGCTTTGCCTAATTTGAGTCAATATGTCATTAAATATTTTTCCTATTATTTTTATATATCTTAAATAAAAAAGTGACTTTAGCTAACATTTAGGGTTTATCTCCCATTTTAAACACAGCAGATACATTAAAAAAAACATTCAGAAGTTACATTCTAATACAAAATATAATTTTAACTTCATGGGGAAAAAAAAAACAATAGAATAAGGCTATTCTTTTGTTATAGCACAACAGGAATGGGAATTCTGTTTTTATGGATATTTATTACAGTGTAATCTAATAAAAATGTCTCATTTGTCCAGAGATCTCCCACTTCAGTTTTTCCCTTAAAAGGTTGTAAAAGTAACTGAGGTAAGAAAAGATAAACAAAGTTCAGTTCATGTTCCTTATCACAATGACAGCTCCATGCACATGCTTATAAACTGGTGATTTATTATTGTCAGAATCTCAATTACACAAAATACTTACATTTTTAACCAAGTGACAATAATAATCTGCTGACGTGTAGCCCAAAGCTGATATGAATGTACTGGTTTCCGCTTCATTATTTTCCCACTTAGAAGAAGAAAGGAGATGGCACAGCAAACTCTGAAAAATCAACATAATTGCAATAAAGTTGCATGCTAACACCAGCTGTGTAAAGGGATAGGACAGCTATTGAACTCTGTCTGGGGTAAGGCCTTTTGATCAGCTGTGGCCATTTACACCATTGATGCAGAAGAGCAGACAGCCCCCACCAGCCATAAGGAAAATACGGCAGCTGCTGCAATCAAAGGTGGGTTCACACACACCACACGATTTCGGCAGCTGTCCAGTCGCAATGGAGACCATTCACATCAAAACCACAGACTGTAGCTAGGTTTCAGCTCTCTGAGAGCCATTTCAATCATCTGTAGTCTTGATCAGTACAATGATCAAGAAGAGCAAGTGTGAAATTAACATCTATTTTCCCATATCACTTTTTCAGGACGCTCTGGAACTCAGAGTCTGGTCTCATACTGCAATTTGCTTAATTCCCTCATTACTTTGAGAAGATGTTGATAAAAATCTTGACATTTACTTCCCCACCAATTTCACTACAAAATGCTTTACATTTCATTAAAGCCTTTTAAATACATCAAATGAAAATCTAAGCAATCCTTTGATGATAGATTCTAAGTCAGATTAACAGATTTGGTACACTGGTTCTGCAGGCATGCACAGGGGACTCTGAGCATAGTACTTATGTTTTCCTGTTTCTTCAGCCCTATAATACAGCTCTGCTGTCATTCGGACAGATCTTACACCCCAGCACATTCCCTAGCAAACTCATTATAAAAACCAAAAGTGTGAAATCTTGAGCAGGTTTTTGCATCCTAGTGTCACAACTGAGCTGAGATAGCTCTAAGTTGATCATCAAACTATCTGCTCTGCATTTTTTACAGCTTTCATTTCTTTCTGTTCTTGACTGCTACATGCTGACATAACAACAGTTATGTTCCCTTTCCAGGGTTCATTTCAGGCTTTATGTATCACTGACACTTAAAGTATAAACTTTATATGGCACTAAGTATATAAAATTCTTTGTAACAGAGGGTCAGGATTAGTATACACTGGAAAAGGCCTTCATTTAAAAACCATATGATTAAAGGAAAGTTCAGACAAAACCTCAGTGACTTCCATGGGTTTAGGCTGCTTCGTTCTCTGCATTCTTATTAATAAAAAGAAGAACCTGATGAAAGATTTTTGAGAGTAAAAAAAAAAAAGGAAATCTCATTAACTTATTTTGTCCTTTCAGAAACTCAAGTATTTATATATGCTTTTGTTGAACAACCCTAAGCAACTACTTCAGAAGTCCTGGAATTAGATATATTCAATCCATGTGTTCCATGTTTGATTGATGTGAGAGAGAAGAATCAGCAGAAGAACACCAGAGGTCTAAGAAAATTCACAATTATCAAAATAAGTGACAAGAATTTGGGATACCTTATTTACTGTACTTCAGGATTCTTTTACTACCTTGAAGAGTTATGTCAAATGTCTAAATAGCCTTTTCCTTCATTGTACAACTTTTTTCCTAGATAGCCCTCAACAGGAGCAACGGCTGTTCTACTGCCATCCAGAGAATTCCCATAAACAAAAGGGAAGGCAAAATGCTGTGGCAAAACAGTTTCAAAGTTTACATTCAATTTTTGCATTCTTAAGAAAAAGACAGAAAAAAGCAGATTAAAAAAATGTACAAGCCTCTAAGTGCGTCAAAAGCAAAAGCTAAAATCTATTACACTGTACAATCTCCCAACAGGACTGAAATCATTAATAAAAAATAATAACCTTTATATATTTTTATTGTCTTTTGCAACTATTACTAAAGTTAAATTTTCTTTTCAGAACACTATCAAGGGTACCTACAAAACAGGATAGTTTGCCAAGTGGAATGATATAAGGGACCAAACTGCAAGTCAAAAACAAAATAAAGGAGACGTTACAACAGCAAACCTAGGATGCCACTTTCCTGAGAGGTAAGGAAGGGATTTGAAAAGTCTAAAATCTGTTGGACTAATTAGTGAAAGACTTACAAAAATCTTGACCAGTGTTAATAAACATAAAAATCTCTGAGAAGGATTTGGCAGGCTGACATGGCAGCAAATAACAGCTAAATGAGGGAGTGGCTTAAAACCCCACATATTCACCTGTAACACTACAAAATTTATTGTCTAGTGACCCTTTCTGTAATCAGGATTTTCCTAAGGGTAAAATAAATTCAACACTCTCTTTGTGAAGAGTACTTTCGAAATTACTTTCCCCCCTACCCCTGTGTAACAGCCAGTGTTAACCAAGCAGCAGAAGAAAAGTGAAGACAAAATGACTTTACATCATCAGACTCTGCATATGTCCTGCAACACCTTTCTGCATTGGTTTTCGGTTAGGTACTGTTTTGGAGTTTTGCTTGCTTATATACTTGCTTGGGTTTTTTTGTTGTTTCATTTTCAATTTACTAGATCCGTGCAAGGAATTTGCAGATTTTTTTCTTGAAATGTACAAAATCTCTGAGCAGCCAGAAGGGGGCAAGGGCAACACAGGCAAGGAGATATTGTAGTCAAGATGAAAGGAGCTATTAAGTATTTATATAAGACAAATAGGTATTAAAGATGGAAATATTTACAATTCAGCTCTATGTCTTATGTATTTCATTTTACTGACAGTGTTGCAGTGAAAAGCCTGAGACATCCCTACATGCAACAAAAGTATTTGTTAAAGGTAAGTTAAAGCATTTGTCTTTTTCAGTTTAAAAGCTTTCTTAACTCTTCTAGAACACATACAGAAAGTTCTCCTTCTCTCTAGAAAAAGTAGCTTATTTATTTCTTATATAATTCTGGTTGTAAGTGATAATTCTTTTACTACTCTATATTAACAGAGAGCTGTCTGGAAGAAAAATTAGTAATGATGCTTCACTCATACTTGACAAATAAGTGGTTAGAATAAGGAATATTTAATGTCATCAGTGGGATGGGATGGGATGGGATGGGACAGGATCCACCCAAAAAGGTCATCTGGGAAGTGGGACAGTAGGACTGAGTGCACCCCTAACAAGTTTGCAGATGACACCAAGATACGTGGTGCAGTTGATTCCCTGTGGGAAGGGATGCCATCCAGAGGAAGGAGGGGCGGGTGAACTTCACAAAGTTCAACAAGCCAAGTGAAAAGTCCAGCACCCCCACTGGAGCAATCTCTAGTATCGATTATCAGGCATGAACGGATTGAGAGCAGCCTTGCAGAGAAGGGCTTGGGAATATTTGAAATTAACTCTTTCAGAAAGTATTCTAGAGAAATATAAACAATTTCTGATTTTCTCACATATATAGGAAGCAATACAAACATTCAAACCTTGTGACAGGTTCCAGTATTACACTGTGAATCCGCCAAGCATTTTAGAAAATCAAAAGGCATGACATATTACAGAGCCACAGTATCAAACAGTTATTTGATACTGATGACTTTTAAGGAATCATTTCAAGATCAATACCTACGAGGTATTCAAGTACATGATGAGAACATTGTCAGTACTAAATGTATTCCTGCACTGATGGTACCAGCCAAGGATCCTACACTACACCAGCAAAATTAACAACCGGTGATCTGCATAATCATCAGTTACTCCTGGCAGTGAATCAATCACCACTCACTGTCTAATCCGCTACTACCACATTCTATAAGCCAGGAAAGTGGATCTGCAGCAAAAATACTGCATTCAAAAGGAAAAATAACAAGGGGTCTTTCATTCTTGCATTTACAGAATCAAGATGGCTGATTTTGGAAAACAAACACTAGTCAGGCACACTGTAATATCCTAAACAACTTTTTTCTTGACTTCTCTCACCACTGAGTAAGTAAGAATGAAACCACCATGGCTGTAATTGCAAGAGAAGAAATCCTTTCCCCAGCCTAGGATTAAAGGCATGCTATTCAAAATCCTATTCAACCTGAAACTGAATTATGAATTTTTATAAAGCCCTCATAAGGATCAACTTCTTTGAACAACCTTGCAATTGACTTTATTGTACTGATGCAATTTATACTGAGTAATACTGCAGATAATTCAAAATCCACTGCTACAGAGAGATTTCTAATACCTGTAACAGGCAGACAATCCTATGAGCATTACCACAAAAACATAAACTCATGTATGCACACTGCTTCATATCTACAAGATCCTATACAATACCTCCACTACCTCCCCACTCCCAGAACAAAATTCAGTATGGCATATGGGATAGGATATGATTGATTTGCTGAGGCAAAGCAAGGGAAGAAAACAAACTGTCTCCAGTTCTTAGACCTCACAGTAGTCCTTGTTCTGTGGATGGTCCAGAGCTGGGATATCAAGACAAAGAAAACAAAAGAAAAAGAGAGGATAAAGAGAGAAAAGAGAAAGAACGCCAGAGAAAAGAGAGAATGAGAGGAAAAAATAAAGAGGGGACCTGATTCATTCCCTTTTGTAGTTCATCTGGTGCATGCTTCTTATGTAAACTAGACTTGTCACACAATTTTGTTCATTCATGCACAGCCAGCCCTTCTCCTGGAAGTGTGGTGGGGATGGGGAACTAAGCATGAGTCTCAAGGCAGAGCAGGATCTTAGCTCAGAACAGTACTGCCCCAGCTCCCCAGGACTCTTTGCTCCAATCACTGTAGCAATACTCAGAATGTTTGAGACAAAACATGCTTAGGTCTGATCCTCTACAGTGCCCCCTCAGTCAGTTTGCAGATGAAACCAGAGTTGGGTGGGAGATTTAATTTGCTGAAGTGTAGGAAGGCTTCACTGAGGGATCTGGACAAGCTGGATCAATGGGCTGAGGCCAGTGGTATGAAGTTTGATATGGTGAAGTGCTGGGTCCAGCCCAACGCTGGGTCCAGTCACAACAACGCCAGACAGCACTGCAGGCTGGGACAAGAGAGGCTGGAAAGCTGCCCAGCCAAAAAGGACCTGTGGGTGCTGGTCAACGACTGAGCAGGAACCTGCTGTGCCCAGGTGGCCAGGAAGGCCAGTGGCATCTTGGCCTCTATCATCAAGAGTGTGGCCAGCAGAACAGGGCAGTGACTGTCCCCTGTAC